AAAAAAAAAAAAAAAGATTATACAATGTATGGATTCTCAAATACAGTTTGGGCTTTTGGACATTTACCAGTAGCATAGATCCCATAGGAGTCCTGATGACATCGTGGTTACTCATTGGCTTGTTGTCTGATAAGTCAGTAGTCTAAAACCACCCGTTGCTCCTCGGGAGAATGACAGGCTTTCTATTCCCATAAAGAGTTAGAGTCTCAGCAACCCACAGGGGCAGTTCTACCATGTTCTAAAGAGTTGCTATGAGTCAGCATCGACTTGATGGCAGCGAGTTTTGTGTTTTTTGGTTTTAGATCCCATGAACTGAAGTACGATGTTTAAAGGTAAATGAAAAAAATAAATAAAATGGTAAATGATGTTGAGAAAGTCTTTTATCAATGTTTAACAATTTTTAAATTGTTAGAAATTTACCACTGTTCTTAAGAAGATAAAAATGCTGTATTTTTCCAGCTCTAATCTCTCCACTGTGTAGAATAATTTTATATCATCATTAATCTACCTGCAATTATAATTTATCGAAATCTCCTTATGAAAGTATCCATTCAAAATATATTTTCAGTGGTCTCTGAAAACCACCATCATTTCTGCTGTTACCTGCTCAGAGTTGTGCAGAGGCTTCAAACTCATTTGGACCACCAGGTATCACGGGTTCAACCACCTTGTGACTTCCTCAGTGCAGCCACTCAGCTGCAGAAACTCCAGGAAATCTTGGAAGCACACATTGTTCCCATGAAACAAGGACCCTCCAGGTAAAGCAGTGCATTTTCTGTATCACCTGTGACCATCTTAGACTGCTCTCTCCATTGGGTAAGATATTGTCCTTTTAACCTTTGTCCTTCAGGGAAGTGACCAGTGTCCCCATCTTGATTTCAGAAGAGGAGAAGCCCCTCTCTACTGGCCTGCAAAGATGGCTGGCTTATGTCTGCTGGCTCTTTCTGGGTGTCCCTAGTCTGGCCTCAGCCTTTTTGACAGAACGTTACAGTCTGGAATTGAACAGAGATCAAGCCACCAGCTGGGTTATCTCCTTGGCATTATCAGTATTCCAGAACATCTTCATCAGCCAGCCAGTAAAGGTACGTTAGAGACAGCGGTCACACCAGCCTTAAAGGAACGGAACCAACAGGGACCTTCGAAAACTATGGCTGTGGGTATCATTCCAAATGCCTAATGGTTTTGACAGTTTGATAAATAATAATAATGTGAAAAGTAACTATAACAAACTTTATTAAGGATGTGTACACAAAATAATCACAGACAAAAAAGAAAACCAAGAACCGATTGACTAGTAGAAATATGGCAGAAAAGATTTGGAAAGCATACAGAAACTTACTTAAAATTATTATTGAAAATGTTAAACCCATGCATAAGTGTAGAGAATAGGATAATGAGTCTTTCAGTTCTGTTATCCAGCTTCAACAATGACCAACTTATGGCCAATCTTATTTCTCCTATTTTAAAGAAAGGATTCCAGGCCACTATCATTCCATCCATAAATATTTAAGTCTGTATATTTCTAAAAGATTGAAAAATGGAGAGCTGAACCTCAGTTGCCAAGCAACAAGGCAAATAGGAGAAAGAGTTGATTACAAAGAAGCACAAGGAAGTGTTTTGGGATGTGGACTGTTTGGCGTCTTGCTTATAGGAGTAGATACATGCATAACTCGGTGTACTTGCCACAACCCATCAGAAATCACAAAAAGAGTGATTTGTACCTTGTAAAGTGATTTGTACCTTGATTTGTACATTTAATGTAAAATTACAGATTAAAAACAAACATATTTTGTGATCACAAATATTTTTAAAAGCTTTAAAAAATAAATTCATCTCCATTAATCAGATTTAAGTAGAATAAGATTCCACTTTTGTTTTTGAAAATGTAAAAATAAGTAAGAATGACAAGAAAAATGATCAGTCAATACTAAAGAGAAAGTTTGACAATTTATAACAAAAACCTTCAAATCTAATTTCCTTTCAGAGAAATTTCACTTCTTAGGATTTTTTTCTGAGGAAATTCAGAGTGGTTTGTAATAATAATAAAATCAATTTAGCGAAACAACAAAGTCCACAGAGAAGAAGCACACGAGCCTGTGTGAACACGA